AGCAGGAGGACAATCCCCTCAGCGTTGGCTTTAAGGTGCTTCCCTGGCGCTGTTGTAGCTGATTACTTCCGGGTAAATTTTTAATCTTACCAGGGGATTAAAAATTTCCTGGTTGTCTCAAGAATTTTGAGGATGAAGATGGTTTAGTCAGGCTGAATGTTTGAGCTGTGCCTTACTGATTATGCAGAACTCCACTGTTTCAGCATGCAGGATGGGGCTGGAATTTCTTCCAAGTTTAGCTATGCAAAGCCAAGCCTTTTCTGACAAGAGCTTGGGTCACTATGGTTAGTCTCAGAATCACGGGGGTTGGTAAGAAGTCACCTACAGTTCCCAGTTGTATTTGTGCCCAACTTGAAGTGATCAAAGCTGTTATCACCAAATTCATAAGACCATCAGGGTCTTCAAATTAATTTTATGAAGAAATTTGGTTTTATACCACATCATAGAAGGGACACTGCTTTGGAAATAGAGTTGACACTGGCATTTGCCTATAGAGAGGTCACCTCTTATCCAGATGAGTTCATTTGCAAAACCCATGAAATAACAGCATGTCGTTTTCTCCAGTGGTCCATGTAAAGATGTCTTCAGCTGTTGATTTTTATTATTTTTCATTAACAAAATTCCATTTTGGGTGTCTCGCTGATGAGTTTCTCTAAGCAGTAATTTTAAAAAGTTATTTGCTAGGTGGCTCTGGCTGTATGCTGCACAGCTATAAGGTTTCTGTCTTCATAGCTTTGCTGTCATTAAATTACCAAGTGAGGTGCTGACCTGCTGTCAGAGGGTTTTCCTGCTGCTGGAATTTTGTCCTGATGTACCGCCTTGTCACTGAACATAGGAACCTCCCTCCTCCTGTCATCCCAGAAGATTCCACTGCATCTTCAGTTGAGTTTCTGGTAAGTGGCATCATGGCCAGGCCTGAAACGGTGCAGCTCATTCACAGCAACTGCAGACCAGGGACTGCCCAGCTTGTTGAAAGCGGCTGTGAGAGAATCCATGGGGAGCAGAAAAAACAACTTTTTCCTTGATGTGTCCATGGAGGGAGCCTCCTGCAAGCTTTGCCGTCCAAAGAGCGGAAAGTGGGGTATGGGAGCTATTGGTTTGGGATCCCAAATTCTCCTTGAATGGAAAGAGGGAATTTTTCAGGCATAAAGCTGCAAGTAGAAGAGGCTTGTCATCTTTGAAAGCCACCGTTGGGCCTTTTTTTTCTCAGAAAAAATTATTTCTTCCACTTGGATGCAAATTCTCATTTTTCTAAACCTTCCATATGAAACATCAGTACCTCTTCTGCTATGGCTGGTTTACAGGACGGGCCCTGGGCAGGAGCTGGGCTTGGCTGGAGAAGCTCGCCTTGGCTGGCGGGGGCGGGGGGCAAGTGAGAGGGTGAGATGGGAGGGGAGGAGAGGAGGGGATGGGTTGGCAGGAAAACTTACTAGGTAGGAAGATAAACAGTTAGAAAATAGATTTTGATTGAGAAGGAAACTTGGGAAGCTGAAGGAAGTGGAGGTGTGTTTTGGTTTTTTTTAACTGCTTTGTGATGTGCGAGTGTGGATTTGTTCTGTTCAGCAGCATTTGTGGGATACATCCAGAGAGTTACCTTGATAAACAATTGAAGTCTACCTAGTGTGCGTGTGTTTATGGGTATCTGTTGCTCATTGTATATTCTGCTTCAGGATTTCTACGTGGAGAAGTTTCTAAGAGACAAGGACATCAGAGATACAAGTAGAGGGTAGGAATCGTTATTCTATTTTAGGGCAATAAAATGGCATTAGGAGCTGCTGCGTTATCTTCCTGGGTAGGTTTGTGCATTGTTTTAAGACTTAAGCATCAGCTCTGGTTTCATTTTTAAGTCAGACAGTGATTGCTGAGTGGGATTTCTGCCTTTGGAAGGATGTGCTGCTCAAACAAACTGTAACCAGCTCCACATGCCGGGATGCTGCTGCTCGCATGGGCTCGGTTGACAACTAGCACCAGGCAATGTCAAGTGAAGATAAAAACTTCAAAAGCTTGAAGATTTGTGACTGAACTGTT